ACCAAAAGGTTGAGGGGTCTGAACCAATCCAGAAGTGCCACAGAAGGCCTGGAGATCTGCTTCTAAAAGGTCAGAGTCTTGAAAACCCTAAGGAACTCGGTGTTACTCTGCAATACGTGGGGTCTCTATGAGTTAGAAATGACTTGATGGTAACTGGTTTTGTTTGCATTATTTTTATCTTTATACCAACTTTCTGTTTATGGAAAGTGATTGTTGTTGTTGTTTATATGCCATCGCGTCAACCCTGACTCATAGCGACCCCTCCTTGGGTTGCCCAGGCAGTATCACTACAGAAGTAGATTGCCCAACATTCCTTCCGAGGAGTGACTGGTGGGTTTGAACCGTCAGCCTTCTGGTTAGCAGTCAAGTGCCTTACGTACTATGCTACCAGAGCGTCATACTTGGCTTTTATTTATGGTAGTTATTTCAAATTTCCTTTAAAAATAATTTTAAGAAAGTAATTGCATTGACTTAAAGAAAGAAGTATATTTCCTATATACTTATTTATATATTTCCTATATACTTAAAAAAAAAGTATATAGGAATAAGCAGACACAGCTGAAATATTGATGATGATAAAATAACAATTTTGAGATATACTGCACTGATCCATTTGATTAACAAATAAATATAAGTGCCAATTATGTGCATGAGGAGCTAGCGTAGTGCCTAAGGCATGTGACTGCTAACTAGAAGGCTGGCGGTTCAAACTCACCAGTCGGTTCTTGGAAGGAAGGTTAGGCAATCTACATCTGTAATGATACTGCCTCGGAAACCCAAGGAGGTGTTGCTGTGAGTTGGATCTAGCTCCATGGCAGTGAGTTTGCTTTGGTTTTGGTTTATTATGTGCATGCTATTCATTTAGCCACTGATAAGGCCAGGGAAAGATGTTCAAAAAAATGTACGTAGGAAACTTATTAGAGGAGGAAATTAATTCAAAATGAGGTATTCACTTGGAATTCATGAAAAGATTCACAGAAAAGCTAGTATTTGAGCCACGGCTTGAAAATAAGTATGATTTAGATATGTTGTTGTTGTTATGTGCTGTGGAGTCAGCCCTGACTCATAGCGACCCCTCCTTGGGTTTCCGAGGCAGTATCACTACGGAAGTAGGATTGCCCAACCTTCCTTCCGAGGAGTGGCTAGTGGGTTTGAACTGCCAGCCTTCTGGTTAGCAGTCTTGTGCCACCATGCCACCAGAGCTCCCTGATTTAGATATAGAGATAGGGAAAGCACTGTGAGGGCAAAAGCATAACATAGGCCTGAGTGGTGGACATGTTCCAAATCTTGATTTTGTTGTGGGTGTGTGTGTATTTGTTAAAAGGCAATGAAATATATACTTAAAATGGGAATACAGTTTTGTACATAAATTTACATTAATAATCAATATATGAAACCCTCACCATGCTAATATGCAGTGTTAATTTCCAAGGTAAATGTTATTATTTATTAATAGCTAAGTTATTAATCTACATTAATATATAAAGTTAATAGTATTTTTGACCTATGGAATAAAAGTATGGGTCAAATCATTGAAGCTGCACGTGTGGATAGCTTGGGGGGGGCTGTTATGGGTGGAACTGTGTCCCCCAAAAAATATGCAGAAGTCTTAGCCTACCCACCCAAACCCTAATAAACCTGTGAATGTGACTTCATTTGGGAAGAGAGTCTTTGCAGATGTAATCTAATTAACATGAGCTCATACTGCCTAATTCAATATGCCTGCTATCCTTTATAAAAAGAGAAGAGACAGGAAGAATGACTATGTGAAGATACAGGCAGAGATTGGAGTTATGCTCCCATAAACCGAGGAATTTTTCTGCCAAGGAGTTATTCTGACAGCAGAAGCTGGAAGAGGTAAGGAAGGATCTTTCCCTAGAGCCTTCAGGGAAAGCATGGCCTTACTGACAACTTGAATGACATTTCTAGCCTCCAGAACTGTAAGAAAATAAATTTCTATTGTTATAAGTCATCTACTTTGGGGTGATGTGTTATAGAAGCTCCAGGAAAGTAATACGGGGGTGAATATGATAAGGAGAAAAAGGAAATCACAATTTAAAGACAAATGGATCAAAGTATTTATTTTCATACAAATTATTTATTTTCAATACGAATTGTTAGCTATTACACAAAAATATTAGCTCTATACTTCTAATTAATACATCCACTTCTTACTTACCAATACCGTTAGGTTAAAAAGACCAGGTTGCTATGCTAAAATTGGCATTATGCAAAAATGGAGGATGACCACATCAGATCACTACGTAACTGCAAAACCACTGAGAATTGTGGCCCAGCTAAGATGGCATAACCTTAATTGTCACCGTTAGGATTATTCTTGCCTTGCCCCTCAGTATTTGTTACTGCCAGACACACATCAAATGAGCAAAACAGATAACAGGTTTTTACTACTGTCGTAAATGTGAAATACTAGATAACGATAGTCGGTAAGTGAGTACTAGCTATAGTTTTATGTCAGAAAGAATGTACCAAAGGCTTACCTATTAAAATTAATTGTACTATTCCCATCCTCTCCTGTAAATGGAAACCCTAACAAAATAAAGAATACACAGAAGCATCACACTGGTTGTGTGCTAGTGATACGTATAAGAATTTAGCAAACAAATTTAAGATTGTATTCAATACATACATCTTTTTGTTAGCAATGAAGACATAACTGCTTCAGAATTAATGTTTTCAGAATTAATGTTTTAACCTTTAGCTGGCTTTGATGATCTATGTGGTTAAAATTATTTACTTCTTATTTTCAGGTAGCCTCTATCACTTTCAGTTGTGAGAATTCCCAACTAGAAAAGCAAATCATTCATAATAAAAACAATACCATCATCAAGACTTTACTTGTTGTAACTTTAAAATGCCATTCTGAATAAAATCAGTTAACTCAACCATGAAAGCAGTTCAGAACATCAATCATGGCTAAGGAAAAGCATTGAGAGACTAGGGAGGGGGGGAACCTCTTTGCCAAAACTTAATGCATGAGACTCACAAAGACCTATGTGTATTCCTAATATTTTAACAAAAGATAATATAAACCTTTTCCTTATACTTACCATTAGATCTTCATGCCGCACCAAGCTTCACACTTAAAAATGACTTCGTACTTAAACCATAATGCATGAAATTTTAAAGCTGAAAGGGGACTCAATAATCATAGAGCACAGTAATTTTGAAACTGGTGTTCTATGT